AGCTCCCTGCAGAGATTTTCTATGGGATTAAGGTCTGGAGACTGGCTAGGCCACTCCAGGACCTTAATGTGCTTCTTCTTGAGCCACTCCTTTGTTGCCTTGGCCGTGTGTTTTGGGTCATTGTCATGCTGGAATACCCATCCACGACCCATTTTCAATGCCCTGGCTGAGGGAAGGAGGTTCTCACCCAAGATTTGACGGTACATGGCCCCGTCCATCGTCCCTTTGATGCGGTGAAGTTGTCCTGTCCCCTTAGCAGAAAAACACCCCCAAAGCATAATGTTTCCACCTCCATGTTTGACGGTGGGGATGGTGTTCTTGGGGTCATAGGCAGCATTCCTCCTCCTCGAAACACGGCGAGTTGAGTTGATGCCAAAGAGCTCGATTTTGATCTCATCTGACCACAATACTTTCACCCAGTTCTCCTCTGAATCATTCAGATGTTCATTGACAAACTTCAGACGGTCCTGTATATGTGCTTTCTTGAGCAGGGGGACCTGGCGGGCGCTGCAGGATTTCAGTCCTTCACGGCATAGTGTGTTACCAATTGACTATGGTCCCAGCTGCCTTGAGATCATTGACAAGATCCTCCTGTGTAGTTCTGGGCTGATTCCTCACCGTTCTCATGATCATTGCAACTCCACGAGGTGCGATCTTGCATGGAGCCCCAGGCCGAGGGAGATTGACAGTTCTTGTGTGTTTCTTCCATTTGTGAATAATCGCACCAACTGTTGTAACCTTCTCATCAAGCTGCTTGGCGATGGTCTTGTAGCCCATTCCAGCGTTTGGAATATGATTGATTGCTTCTGTGGACAGGTGTCTTTTATACAGGTAACAAGCTGAGATGCTCCTAATCTCAGCTCGTTACCTGTATAAAAGACACCTGGGAGCCACACATCTTTCTGATTGAGAGGGGGTCAAATACTTATTTCCCTCATTAAAATGCAAATCAATTTATAACATTTTTGACATGCGTTTTTCTGGATTTTGTTGTTGTTATTCTGTCTCTCACTGTTCAAATAAATCTACCATTAAAATTATAGACTGATAATTTCTTTGTCAGTGGGCAAATGTACCAAATCAGCAGGGGATCAAATACTTTTTTCCCTCACTGTATATAGAAAAAATGAAATATCACATTTACATACATATTCAGACCCTTTACTCAGTACTTTCTTGAAGCACCTTTGGCAGCGATTACTTTTTTCCCTCACTGTATACACTGCTCAAAAAAATTAAGGGAACACTTAAACAACACAATGTAACTCCAAGTCAATCACACTTCTGTGAAATCAAACTGTCCACTTAGGAAGCAACACTGATTGACAATACATTTCACATGCTGTTGTGCAAATGGAATAGACAACAGGTGGAAATTATAGGCAATTAGCAAGACACCCCCAATAAAGGACTGGTTTTGCAGGTGTTGACCACAGACCACTTCTCAGTTCCTATGCTTCCTGGCTGATGTTTTGGTCACTTTTGAATGCTGGCGGTGCTTTCACTCTAGTGGTAGCATGAGACGGAGTCTACAACACACACAAGTGGCTCAGGTAGTGCAGCTCATCCAGGATGGCACATCAATGCGAGCTGTGGCAAGAAGGTTTGCTGTGTCTGTCAGCGTAGTGTCCAGAGCATGGAGGCGCTACCAGGAGACAGGCCAGTACATCAGGAGACGTGGAGGAGGCCGTAGGAGGGCAACAACCCAGCAGCAGGACCGCTACCTCCGCCTTTGTGCAAGGAGGAGCAGGAGGAGCACTGCCAGAGCCCTGCAAAATGACCTCCAGCAGGCCACAAATGTGCATGTGTCTGCTCAAACGGTCAGAAACAGACTCCATGAGGGTGGTATGAGGGCCCGATGTCCACAGGTGGGGGTTGTGCTTACAGCCCAACACCGTGCAGGACGTTTGGCATTTGCCAGAGAACACCAAGATTGGCAAATTCGCCACTGGCGCCCTGTGCGCTTCACAGATGAAAGCAGGTTCACACTGAGCACATGTGACAGACGTGACAGAGTCTGGAAACGCCGTGGAGAACGTTCTGCTGCCTGCATCATCCTCCAGCATGACCGGTTTGGCGGTGGGTCAGTCATGGTGTGGGGTGGCATTTCTTTGGGGGGGCCGCACAGCCCTACATGTGCAGACCCCTCGTGAGACCATATGCTGGTGCGGTTGGCCCTGGGTTCCTCCGAATGCAAGACAATGCTAGACCTCATGTGGCTGGAGTGTGTCAGCAGTTCCTGCAAGATGAAGGCATGGATGCTATGGACTGGCCCGCCCGTTCCCCAGACCTGAATCCAATTGAGCACATCTGGGACATCATGTCTCGCTCCATCCACCAACGCCACGTTGCACCACAGACTGTCCAGAAGTTGGCGGATGCTTTAGTCCAGGTCTGGGAGGAGATCCCTCAGGAGACCATCCACCACCTCATCAGGAGCATGCCCAGGCGTTGTAGGGAGGTCATACAGGCACGTTGAGGCCACACACACTACTGAGCCTCATTTTGACTTGTTTTAAGGACATTACATCAAAGTTGGATCAGCCTGTAGTGTGGTTTTCCACTTTAATTTTGAGGGTGATTCCAAATACAGACCTCCATGGGTTGATACATTTGATTTCCATTGATAATGATTTTGTTGTCAGCACATTCAACTATGTAAATAAAAAAGTATTTAATAAGATTATTTCATTCATTCAGATCTAGGATGTGTTATTTTAGTGTTCCCTTTATTTTTTTGAGCAGTGTATAAATAAGCAAACATTACTAAAAAACAGTTTTTGCTTTGCCATTATGGGGTATTGTGTGTAGATTGCTAAGGGACAAAAACTATTTATTCAATTTTAGAATAAGGCTGTAATGTAACAAAATGTGGAAAATGTCAAGAGGTCTGAATACTTTCCGACCCCTTGATAATATGTTCCTTCATGTTATTAGCCTACCTCCACTTACTCTATTGTTGCTTCATTCCTTCCTCGCTTTCAACAGTTAAATTAAATACGTTTCGTTGTCCTTATTCATCAGTCTAATGACATCCTTGAATAATATAGGACTAGAATTAGATGCAGAAGGCTTTCACTTCTCTTCACGAAGATTGAATGGTTATGGGTCTTAATAACTAATTGTTATAGCTTACCGACCATCGCGCGTTCGCTCTTCTTTCAAACTACCTGTGAGTTCTATTGGCTGCTGTATTTAACATTCAGCAAAAATGAGCTTGCGGCCGTCTTTGAATAGTCTATTGGTATAAGAAATGCAAAAAAAAATGTCCAGCAAGCTATTCTAGACCAAAGGCTAAGGAGCGTTTTTTAAGGAGAGGCCAGCGAAACACGGGTGCATGCGTATTGCGCAAGAGAGTGGCTATAAGTTAGAAGCTTATTATGCATACCCCATAATGAATTACCTAAATATAAGGCTAATACTGCATTGAATGTATAACCTGAAAGAGGTAGTCGAGGATATATATCAATGTAGAACAAGATTATCTATTTTGGATGCAATTTGAATGGAGTTGATGGAGCAAGACTGCGAGAGTGCTCGCGCGTGCGCTGATTTAAAGCAACGATATTCGAGTGATTGGCTGTTTTTAAAACTCTGCAGCTGCAATTTAAAAAATGATAATCTTTACAATAAAAAAAATAAGGTGACCCCGAAAGCCAGATGGAGATGGATAAATTAGACGCGCATTCTGTCTTTATATTACTGTAGCATAGGCTGTGCTGCAGCAAATGCAGGCCTACCTGTCACAATAAAAAAGTTACCATGATGAGATGATAGGTCTACATGCATTGTGAACTGCGTTCCATACTGAGACGGAATGTCGCCACCCTGAGCGTTGATGATTGATCATGCAGAGAGAATGCTGTAGAGAAGCAATATTTAGACCGCATGTCATTTAACAGTTCCATTTCACGCCATGCTGTTCATATAAATAATGGTATTATAATTTACCGGTTTCTCCTGCCTGCCGAACACCTGCCCTCACCATTGTTTACAGCCCTGCGGGAAAACAGTGCACGACAGGCGCGGGCGAAGGACACTGGAGTCATAACTTAAAAATGTACCATAGAAGTATAAAGAGGGGTTCCTGCAGATGCAGGAAAGCCCCGAATTGAGGGCTGCAGTTGCATCTTTCTCCAGTTTGTAAACAAAGCCATATGATATGCACGTGATGATGGTTTTACTGCATTACTTATTTAAATTAGTTAAAATTCTATGATGCTACCATTGGGGTGTAATATTTCCGGCCTTAGGTGACGTTGCATAAAGCTGGAAGTAATGCCTGCCTCCTGAATCCAAGCATTTGACATGGGGGGAGGGGACCAGTAACTTTATGATCAACTTTGTCAATGTACCAGCTACAGGAATTATTCATACTTGGGTCACTGTTCGGGACCTTTAAACAGAAGCAAACGGAACGAAACGGGGAGGGACCTATCTGAATTTGTCCAATATAAATATAGTTTTAGTTGCAAAAGATTCTGTTTGGACTAATGATTACATCCCTGCTCTTTCTCTTCGCTGATGATGCCAGTGTGTGTTCAGTCTTCAGTCTGTTGCGTGTAGAGTATCCTAGCCTATTCATTGATGATAGTCCCTGCTTTAGTTAAGGTGTGAGACATTGCAAGCCAAGAAATTGGAAGATACAGCATTCCATTGCGAGTGACAGCTCTAGACTGCCAATAGATAGGCCTAGTGCACGGTTCTGACGTGGAATTTTATGAATTTTTCGTAGCGTTTTAACAGAAAACCAATACAACAAATGGCATTTTTAAATATGAAATACTAAGATTTTTTTTATCCATCCCTACCGTATATGGGTACGAGTGTAAACGGTTAAGCTAATAAACAAAAGTGATATTGGAAAGAGCAGCGTGCGGTTTTTCCATATGATGTGCATATCTGTTTACTTTCATCACTATTGCCCTTTCCGTCATTGTGCTTGTTGATGTATTTGTGTTAGTCCTGAGTGTCTGGGACTGATTTGAGTGTACTTGCAGGAGACGTGGCTCAGCTAGTGTTGAGCAGTTCTGAGGGGGTGCGCCGGGTCAACCCTGCCGGTATGGAGTACAGGGAGATGGCTGCTCACTTACTGGGACCAGGGCCTATGGCTGCCCTGACTGCAAACCGCACTGTCTACTGGGCAAGGCCAGGACAAGGCTCCATCTACAGGTACACCTCAGAGAGTTAAACACTTTCTGAATCTGGCCCTTAGTATCACTATGAATGTTGACCACAGTTATTTTTTTGCTCTGTGAAATACTACTAGATGTTAGTTCCCATACATTTGATCTATCCTGCGTGCCCTTTAGGATCTCCATGGATGGGAAGCCCCTGGAGCCTGTCCTGCTGTTGAAAGGCCATGGTGCTGTCCTGGGTCTGGCTGTGGACTGGATCCATGAGCTTCTCTACTGGACCAACGCTGATACTCACTCCATCGATGTGGCCCGTCTGGACGTCTCTGCACAACGCCTCCTGATAGGAGGGCTGGCCATGCCCACTGGAGTGGCTGTGGAACCCTTGTTGGGGTAGGCTGGATTGGAAGTTCTCAATATTGGTCGTGGAGACCTATTGTATGCACCCAGGTTTTTGTTTCAACTCATTGAGCTTTAAAAAAAACTCAACTACATAATCATATTCTAAATATTGGATTTATATTCATTTTTACGATGAAGATATATATATATATATATATATATATATATATATATTTTTTTTTTAAAGGATTTTAAGGATTTTCTATCTCAAACTTGGCCTCTTATAAACAAATCTATCAGTTAATTGTACCCAAAATGTAAATTAGTAGGCCTTTCTAATTTGTGCTCAGTCTCCAGCTTGCACAGGGTTTCACAGGGTTTAGATAGATACTCAGTTAGATTGTTCAAAGTCTGTCTTGAATGCCCCCAGGAGAGATTTGGATGTCAAAGCCAGATCGACTGTAGTCATTGAGAGCTCCTGTTTCCCCAGGCTCTTGTTCTGGGCAGAAGGTGGCAGCTCCCCCAGGATCGAGCGTGCTGGCCTGGATGGAGAAGGCAGGCTGCCACTAATCACCTCAGCCATATGGAATCCAGTCGCCATCTCTCTGGGTATGTTTGGGTGTTCTTTTATACATGTGTATTACACAGATAAGCACCAAACTGGTTTTATATTTCTTGAAGTGTACGTGTTTGGCTTAATAGTTGGCCAAATGTAGTTTAATTTGGGATTAACAAAGATTCAAGGTTATTTTCGTAACCCAGGTTATCTGTAATTATGAGTGAGATATCTCACAGTGGGATTCACCAGAAGCTCAATGAGTAATATCTTATGTTTCACCGAGTCGTGGCTGAACGACGACATGGATAACATACAGCTGGCAGGATATACGCAAGATAGAACGGCTGACTCCGGTAAGACAAGGGGTGGCGGTCTGTGTATATTTGTAAACAACAGCTGGTGCATAATCTCTAATACTAAGGAAGTGTTGAGGTTTTGCTCGCCGGAGATGGAGTATCTCATGATAAGCTGTAGACCACACTATTTACCAAGAGAGTTTTCATCTATATTTTTCATAGCTATCTACCTACCACCACAAACCGATGCTGGCACTAAGATTGCACTCAATGAGCTGTATAAGGCCATAAGTAAACAGGAAACGCTCATCCAGAGGCAGCTCTCCTAGCGGCCGGGGACTTTAATGCAGGGAAATGTAAATCTGTTCTACCTAATTTCTACCAGCATGTTAAATGTGCAACCAGAGGTAAAAAAAACTCTAGACCACCTTTACTCCACACACAGAGACGCATACAAAGCTCTCCCTCGCCCTCCATTTGGCAAATCTGACCATAACTCTATCCTCCTGATTCCTGCTAATAAGCAAAAACTAAAGCAAGAAGCACCAGTGACTCGGTTAATAAAAAAGTTGTCAGATGACGCAGATGCTAAGCTACAGGACTGTTTTGCTAGCACAGACTGGAATATGTTCCGGGAATCTTCCGATAGCATTGAGGAGTACACCACATCAGTCACTGGTTTCATCAATAAGTGCATCGATGACGTCGTCCCCACAGTGACCGTACGTACATACCCCAACCATGGATTACAGGTAACATCCGCACTGAGCTAAAGGGTAGAGCTGCCACTTTCAAGGAGCGGGACTCTTAACCCGGACGCTTATAAGAAATCCCGCTATGCCGTCCGACGAACCATCAAACAGGCAACGCGTCAATACAGGACTAAGATTGAATCGTACTACACCGGCTCTGATGCTCGTCGGATGTGGCAGGGCTTGAAAACTATTACAAACTACAAAGGGAAGCACAGCCGCGAGCTGCCCAGTGACACAAGCCTACCAGACGAGCTAAATCACTTCTATGCTCGCTTCGAGGCAAGCAACACTGAAGCATGCATGAGAGCATCAGCTGTTCCGGATGACTGTATGCAAAACGACGCCGGATTTGTTAGGCTGCTGCGGTCATTCTCATTGGCAATTGACTTTGTTGTTCAAAGTGGCTAGAGAGGATGCAGTAATGACAAAAATCATATACTAGGCCTACTGGAAAAATGATATGCCACTGAAAATATTATGATAATCATGAAAGGAGCTTGGCTCCATTCTTTGAACGCCATTTAATAAGAGAGGAGATGCAAAACTGGCACCTGTCATCAGTCCTCAATCACATGCTGACCATCATGATGCTTGCTGCTTACAGTTTTTTTTCTATCTGATTAAAGAGATGAAGGCCAGACAGTCTAGGCCTATTTTAGGAAACTTTCTGAATGGCCATAGAGAGAATTAGTAAACTCATACACTCACACCCACCCACCTAAAAGGACCCATCAATTAAAGCCGTCTGCAGCGCATCTCACTGATGCATAAGAAAATCACATTTCTCCTTTCCTCAAAAACATATTAAAAACCTTGCCTTAGCTTCAAATCCTTTCTGTAGGATATCAAAAACTAGACTACATTATAGGATAATGATAAATCAATGTAGCCTATCATATAAATTGACAAGGAAAGTTTTAGGGGGAAGATGGAGACAGCTGTGATATAGGCCTAGGCTATTTGAAGATTAAATTGACATGCACACAACCTGTCCATAGCCTATCAGCCGTTGATCCATTTTAGTGATGTAATGGGTGGTTATGTTGACATTAGGCCTACATTTTCATTTGAGTGCTTTATCTAAATATCACATTTAAACAAGTATTCAGACCCTTTACTCAGCACTTTGTTGAAGAACCTTTGGCAGCGATTACAGCCTCAAGTCTTCTTGGGTATGACGCTACAAGCTTGGCACACCTGTATTTGGGGAGTTTCTCCCATTCTATGTAGATTCTCTCAAGCTCTGTCAGGTTGGATGGGGAGCGTCGCTGCACAGCTATTTTCAGGTCTCTCCAGAGATGTTCGATTGGGTTCAAGTCTGGGCTCTGGTGGGCCACTCAAGGACATTCAGAGACTTGTCCCGAAGCCACTCCTACATTGTCTTGGCTGTGTGCTTAGGGTCGTTGTCCTGTTTGAAGGTGAACCTTCACCCCAGTCTGAGGTCCTGAGCGCTCTGCAGCAAGTTGTCATCAAGGATCTCTCTGTACTTTGCTCCGTTCATCTTTCCCTCAATCCTGGCTAGTCTCCCAGTCCCTGCCGCTGAAAAACATCCTCACAGCATGATGCTGCCACCACCATGCTTCACAGTAGGGATGGTGCCAGATTTCCTCCAGACGTGACGCTTGGCATTCAGGCCAAAGAGTTCAATCTTGGTTTCATCAGACCAGAGAACCTTTTTTCTCATGGTCTGAGAGTCCTTTAGGTGCCTTTTAGCAAACTCCAAGTGGGCTGTCATGTGCCTTTTACTGAGGAGTGGCTTCCGTCTGGCCACACAGTGCTGCAGAGATGGGTGTCCTTCTGGAAGGTTCTCCCATCTTCACAGAGGAACTCTGGAGCTCTGTCAGAGTGACCATCTGGTTCTTGGTCACCTCCCTGACCAAGGTCCTTCTCCCCCGATTGCTCAGTTTGGATGGATGACCAGCTCTAGGAAGAGTCTTGGTGGTTCCAAACTTCATCCATTTAAGAATGATGGAGGCCACTGTGTTCTTGAGGACCTTCAATGCTGCAGACATTTTTTGGTACCCTTCCCCAGATCTGTGCCTCGACACAATCCTGTCTTGGAGCTCTACGGACAATTCCTTCCACCTCATGACTTGGTTTTTGCACTGACATGCAATGTCAACATGTCCAATTAATTGAATTTACTACAGATGGACTCCAATCAAGTTGTAAAAACATCTCAAGGATGATCAATGGAAACAGGATACACCTGAGCTCAATTTCCAGTCTCATAGCAAAGGGTCTGAATACTTATGTAAATAAGGTACACTGCTCAAAAAAATAAAGGGATCAATAAAATAACACATCCTAGATCAGAATGAATGAAATAATCTCATTAAATACTTTACATAGTTGAATGTGCTGACAACAAAATCACACAAATTATCAATGGAAATCAAATGTATCAACCCATGGAGGTCTGGATTTGGAGTCACCCTCAAAATTAAAGTGGAAAACCACACTACAGGCTGATCCAACTTTGATGTAATGTCCTTAAAACAAGTCAAGATGAGGCTCAGTAGTGTGTGTGGCCTCCACGTGCCTGTATGACCTCCCTACAACGCCTGGGCATGCTCCTGATGAGGTGGCGGATGGTCTCCTGAGGGATCTCCTCCCAGACCTGGACTAAAGCATCCGCCAACTCCTGGACAGTCTGTGGTGCAACGTGGCGTTGGTGGATGGAGCGAGACATGATGTCCCAGATGTGCTCAATTGGATTCAGGTCTGGGGAACAGGCGGGCCAGTCCATAGCATCAATGCCTTCCTCTTGCAGGAACTGCTGACACACTCCAGCCACATGAGGTCTAGCATTGTCTTGCATTAGGAGGAACCCAGGGCCAACCGCACCAGCATATGGTCTCACGAGGGGTCTGAGGATCTCATCTCGGTACCTAATGGCGGTCAGGCTACCTCTGGCGAGCACATGGAGGGCTGTGCGGCCCCCCCAAAGAAATGCCACCCCACACCATGACTGACCCACTGCCAAACCGGTCATGCTGGAGGATGTTGCAGGCAGCAGAACGTTCTCCACGGCGTCTCCAGACTCTGTCACGTCTGTCACGTGCTCAGTGTGAACCAGCTTTCATCTGTGAAGAGCACAGGGCGCCAGTGGCGAATTTGCCAATCTTGGTGTTCTCTGGCAAATGCCAAACGTCCTGCACGGTGTTCGGCTGTAAGTACAAACCCCACCTGTGGACTTCGGGCCCTCATACCACCCGCATGGAGTCTGTTTCTGACCATTTGAGCAGACACATGCACATGTGTGGCATGCTGGAGGTCATTTTGCAGGGCTCTGGCAGTGCTCCTCCTGCTCCTCCTTGCACAAAGGCAGAGGTATCAGTCCTGCTGCTGGGTTGTTGCCCTCCTACGGCCTCCTCCACGTCTCCTGATGTACTGGTCTGTCTCCTGGTAGCGCCTCCATGCTCTGGACACTACGCTGACAGACACAGCAAACCTTCTTGCCACAGCTCGCATTGATGTGCCATCCTGGATGAGCTGCACTACCTGAGCCACTTGTGTGGGTTGTAGACTCAGTCTCATGCTACCACTAGAGTGAAAGCACCGCCAGCATTCAAAAGTGACCAAAACATCAGCCAGGAAGCATAGGAACTGAGAAGTGGTCTGTGGTCAACACCTGCAAAACCAGTCCTTTATTGGGGGTGTCTTGCTAATTGCCTATAATTTCCACCTGTTGTCTATTCCATTTGCACAACAGCATGTGAAATGTATTGTCAATCAGTGTTGCTTCCTAAGTGGACAGTTTGATTTCACAGAAGTGTGATTGACTTGGAGTTACATTGTGTTGTTTAAGTGTTCCCTTTATTTTTTTGAGCAGTGTATTTCTTTATTTTTTTATTTTTTCAGAAATTTCTAAAGACCTGTTTTTGCTTTGTCATTATGAGGTATTGTGTGTAGATTGAGATTATTATTTTTTAAATCTATTTTAGAATAAGGCTGTAACGTAACAAAATGTGAAAAAAGTTGAGGGCTTTGAATACTTTCCGAATGCACTGTATGCACACAGGAGGCCAGGTATTCCTACTTCTGTCTCTCTCTCTATATGTATATACAGTACCAGTCAAAAGTTTGGACATACAGTGGGGAGAACAAGTATTTGATACACTGCCGATTTTGCAGGTTTTCCTACTTACAAAGCATGTAGAGGTCTGTAATTTTTATCATAGGTACACTTCAGCTGTAAGAAACGGAATCTAAAACAAAAATCCAGAAAATCACATTGTATGATTTTTAAGTAATTAATTTGCATTTTATTGCATGACATAAGTATTTGATCACCTACCAACCAGTAAGAATTCCGGCTCTCACAGACCTGTTAGTTTGTCTTTAAGAAGCCCTCCTGTTCTCCACTCATTACCTGTATTAACTGCACCTGTTTGAACTCGTTACCTGTATAAAAGACACCTGTCCACACACTCAATCAAACAGACTCCAACCTCTCCACAATGGCCAAGACCAGAGAGCTGTGTAAGGACATCAGGGATAAAATTGTAGACCTGCACAAGGCTGGGATGGGCTACAGGACAATAGGCAAGCAGCTTGGTGAGAAGGCAACAACTGTTGGCGCAATTATTAGAAAATTGAAGAAGTTCAAGATGACAGTCAATCATCCTCGGTCCGGGGCTCCATGAAAGATCTCACCTCGTGGGGCATCAATGATCATGAGGAAGGTGAGGGATCAGCCCAGAACTACACGGCAGGACCTGGTCAATGACCTGAAGAGAGCTGGGACCACAGTCTCAAAGAAAACCATTAGTAACACACTACGCCGTCATGGATTAAAATCCTGCAGCGCACGCAAGGTCCCCCTGCTCAAGCCAGCGCATGTCCAGGCCCGTCTGAAGTTTGCCAATGACCATCTGGATGATCCAGAGGAGGAATGGGAGAAGGTCATGTGGTCTGATGAGACAAAAATATAGTTTTTTGGTCTAAACTCCACTCGCCGTGTTTGGAGGAAGAAGAAGGATGAGTACAACCCCAAGAACACCATCCCAACCGTGAAGCATGGAGGTGGAAACATCATTCTTTGGGGATGTTTTTCTGCAAAGGGGACAGGACGACTGCAACGCATTGAGGGGAGGATGGATGGGGCCGTGTATCGCGAGATCTTGGCCAACAACCTCCTTCCCTCAGTAAGAGCATTGAAGATGGGTCGTGGCTGGGTCTTCCAGCATGACAACGACCCGAAACACACAGCCAGGGCAACTAAGGAGTGGCTCCGTAAGAAGCATCTCAAGGTCCTGGAGTTGCCTAGCCAGTCTCCAGACCTGAACCCAATAGAAAATCTTTGGCGGGAGCTGAAGGTCCGTATTGCCCAGCGACAGCCCCGAAACCTGAAGGATCTGGAGAAGGTCTGTATGGAGGAGTGGGCCAAAATCCCTGCTGCAGTGTGTGCAAACCTGGTCAAGACCTACAGGAAACGTATGAACTCTGTAATTGCAAACAAAGGTTTCTGTACCAAATATTTAGTTCTGCTTTTCTGATGTATCAAATACTTATGTCATGCAATAAAATGCAAATGAATTACTTAAAAATCATACAATGTGATTTTCTGGATTTGTCTCTCACAGTTGAAGTGTACCTATGATAAAAATTACAGACCTCTACATGCTTTGTAAGTAGGAAAACCTGCAAAGTCGGCAGTGTATCAAATACTTGTTCTCCCCACTGTACCTATTCATTCAAGGGTTTTTCTTAATTTTTACTATTTTCCACATTGTAGAATAATGGTGAAGACATCAAAACCATGTAGTAACCAAAAAAGTGTTAAACAAAGCCAAATGTATTTTATATTTGAGATTCTTCAAAGTAGCCACCCTTTGGCTTGATGACAGCTTTGCACACTCTTGGCATTCTCTCAACCAGCTTCATGAGGCAGTCACCTGGAATGCATTTCAATTAACATGTGTGCCTTGTTAAATGTTAATTTGTGGAATATCTTTCCTTCTTAATGCGTTTGAGCCAATCAGTTGTGTTGTGACAAGGTAGGGGTGGTATACAGAAGATGGAGAGAGAAAGAGAGAGAATCCAGCATTACACCTAGGTATTGTATTCTCTGTGTTGGCACCAAACAGCTCTTTTTCTGGTTGATCTTGAACCCTAACTCATTGAGGTGGGTTACAGGGGTGTACCTTGAAGGGGAGCAAAGCAGGTAATCCTCTATGTAGGCAGAGACTCAGCTCCTTGTTTGTCAGGGGTGTAAGAGCCGCATCCACACACTTGCTGAAAGTTCGGGGAGCTCGAGTGCCTGCCTAAAGCGGTGTAGCAGTGGCCATCATTTGTTTAACCAGGGAGTCAGGTTGGAGGCGGCCAATTCTTACCCTTCCTACGTCCCTATTTCGTGGAAAAAGTCTCCTAACCGGGTATTGCCTGCTGCGAATTAGCCTTGACAGGCGTGAGCTAGCTTATTAGATGCCTCGCGGCTAATGGCTAGCTGGGGGTAAGCACTGTGTATAAACGCTATAGCTGTGGTGGGCTAGTGTAGGCGTTAGCCCACCTGCTGGTTGCTAGCTTTCTAAGATTGTTATAGCTAGCACAGTGCTAGCCGAGGGGAACCGTGTGGTTATTCGTCTTTGGGTAGAAAATCCCCACGACCGTAATGTCAGTTTAGTCAACACAAACGAGTGAACATAGGTTGTACTACACGAGGGAGCTGTCAATGCTACAGTCTGTGGGCAGGAGTAGCAGGCTCCATGGCTCCAATAAGTAGCTAGTACGAGAACAAAGTGAATCATAGTTAGCTTTTGCCACATGGGCTACTAGCCTAGCTAGTTAGCACAGTGCTAGCCAGAGATAGCTAATCCTCTAAGAAAGTGAAACATAGATGGCGTTTGCCTTGTGGGCAATGTTCCCTCTAAGCTGCACGCGTGCATGGGCTCACAGTTCCCCCGTGACAGCCGCGCAGAAGAAATATCAGCCCGCACAGACAAGCATGACATTTAACTTTACTCAACTTTCTAAAGTTTTCCCGCTTAGTTAACACTATCAACGTTTCCCTTTACTGTGGGAATTGTGATCTAATCAATGCAATATTAGCCACTTTCAATGCAACATACCGAAACAAAACTAACTATGCAAGAGATTTTGTTGTAGGCAGAACACATCGGCGTATGATTCTATTGTATTGACACGCACGACTCAGCCCGTACGTACACAGACCTGTGCAGCATAACCAATCAGAGCTGCAGTAGGCCTATATGCAAATAGACCATTGCCAATATGGATCTATGCCATTTACTTTGAACTGGACTGTGTTTACAGCAGGAGCGGTGCGGAGTTGATGCGGTTGTTTTGAGATCAAAGCCAGAGCTGCATGTAGCCACGTGTACACATTTGTTCATATCCTTTGCTAGTTTGTGAGTTATTAGCCCAGTTATATATAATTTGTAGTCAGCAATGGGGGAGTGATTGCTTCCTACAAGAGCTCAAAACGTGTACATTTCTAGACATCTTTGAAAAGCGAGTCAGGTAAAGAGCTTTTTTTTGTCTTAAAGGGGCAGCGTTGTATTTTGAGACAGGCTTGAATAAGCTAAGTAGCCAATAGGCAGAGGGTAGAATAATTTGTCTGATTCTCTGTAATAATGGTATGGGAATAATAATGCATTTTTATTTTGTAAAGTGGTTTCTTGCATCAAACAACACAACATTTTCAGTCACCTTGTCCGAAGGACAAGTGGATAAACAGGTTAATGTCAAGCCCTGCATGTTTAAAAAAAAAAGTCTCATGGAATGTAGGCCTACATCGAACACCTGCTACTGTAGGCTGAATGATAGAAAAGGTATTTCCATGATAAAATGTTATGGGATAAATCTTCTTCATTGTTTTTTATGTTAGGCCACTCTGGTAGGCCTATATTATGATCAAATAGCCACAGTAGCCTACTTGACCCCTGTTAAAACTGTAACTTAAAGTGGGTATAGCCTCAGTGTTCACAGTAAACGCGCTCTGAAAGTTACACAGAATTTCCACAACATTCAAGTTTGCGCTCAGCAGACCTGAAATTTGATCAGTGCTGAAAAACATTAGAGGGAACATTGCTCGTGGGCTTGGAGCTTAGCTAGGTAGCGCAATGCTAGCCGGAGGAAGCTAGCGCTTTTCTAGTCTTTCAACAAATAAAAAAGTGTCTCTCGACTGATAATCTGTGAAGGATGGTCAGTCTAGTCTACAAGGAACGAAGGGATGTGGGTTGAACTAAAAACAAGAGATAAAAGCTAGCAATTCTACCTTTCCAGGTAGTAAAGCTAGTTGTGGGATAGCTAGCTTGCAGCGAGCTAGCCCGTTTAACTAAGCCTTGTGGCAGAAGCTAGCCAAGTCTCAGTAGCTAGCCGTGTGACACTAGCTATCAGAGGAGACAAAGGGTAGAAAAAGCGAAAAGGCAAATTATTATCCGACACGAAAAACGTTCATTTCGGTCTGTTACCCAACACAGAAGAGAAGAGTTCTAAATCCTGTTCTCGGCCACATAACCAAACCTGTGAACCCTTAAGCAGGAAACGGGAATCACTTCTAGCTAAGGAGACCTTGTGTCCTTATAATGAGGGTAGAGGCTCACCTCATTCGCCACTCGACCTTCCTGTCTCCGACAGACGTGTGATTTGTTCTTTGAGCTTCTAGAGATTCTGGTGAATCCCACTGTGAGATATCGAAACGAGTAATTGCTAAGATAGTACCACTAAAAAGTCAGAGTTGAATAGCGTGTGTTTTTCCTACAGACATGCCTCGACGACTCCTGTACTGGGTTGACTCAAGGATGCGCACCATCTCGAGGGTTGGGTTCGACGGGGAGCATCGCAAGACCGTGGTGGAGTCCAATGGATACCTGGACAGGCCCTTTCGGATTGGCAGTGTTTGAGGTATAGACATTCAAATGACACTAAGGCCTTATTCCAATCTGTAGACCATCCCCTGTTCCCTTTCCTTTAGTCTTTGAAGACTCATGATCACAGATCTGGAAAGACTGAAGTGGGGGGAAATAGTACAAATGACTGACTCGCCATTACTATAATGGGGCTTACACCTCAAGGGCATACTGAAATGAGCAATGTTTCTGGTTTAGAATCCAGCCCTGTAAAGTCACAAACACTAAAGTTTGATAGAAGCTACTGTTCCATACACTCTGCTGCGCCCTGCTCCCTCACTTCCCTCTTCTCTCTCTGTGTTTACTAGAGCGAACAGGACACCTGTATATTGCTGAGAAGCACAATGGCAGCCTTTTTAGTCATTTTGCCCAATATTGGCTTGGTTTTCGCTCACACAGTTCTTCAACCTAAAGGTTATGTGTCAGCCCATGGAGTGAACTTAATGTATTGTACTCAATATACTCAACATGCTATATTCAAAACGCAGAAAATGTGTCCAAAGTACAATGTTTGGGATGCAAATCCTAGTTTGTGTCATTCAAATAATATTGCATTGTTGATTTTATGCATGTTGATTCTATTCTCTGGAACAAGTTCACCAAGTCTTCACAGAAGACTGAAGTGTGGGGAAATGATACACCTTGCATACATACAATTACTATAAAATGGCATCAAGGGCAGATGGAACGGGAGCAAGTTTCTGGTTTGGAATCCAGCCCCCATTTAATGATTCCATTGTTTCATACACTCTAAAGTATGGTATTCTGGATGTCGCCATATGTTCACTACTCTCTCACGTCTCTCTCAGGGACATGTATACTGGAGTGAACAGGTCACCCACTCTATCTGTAGTGCTGACAAGCACAATGGCAGCCTCTTTAGAGTCATCCTGCCCAATATCGCAGACCCAGGCGGCTTGGTTCTCGTTCACCCAGTTCTTCAACCAAAAGGTCTGTCAGCCCATCGAGTAAACTTTGATAATGTGCCCAAGGCACAAAGGTTTGGATTTAACCTTAGTTTGTGTCAATTAGTCTATGTTATCTGACTGATGTTATCTTACTGATGTTCCCAGGCCCTGCTATGTGTGGAAATAGTGGCAGAGTTTGTCTATATGAGTGTGTGCCAGACCTTTTCTCTGGAACAAGCTCTCCCAGCTTCACCTGCATTCCTCCAAAAGGGGGTAGTGATGTTGATGATGATGATGATGATGATGATGGTGAGTATGTGAAAGTGGAAAGAAGTGTGGTTATTATGCAGTAGGGATTCATATTTTCTGGAAAATCTAAACATATTTATTCCAGAAAAAATTGCAAGCCCTTCCCAGGCATCCCGAGATTCCTGTTCAAACCGGAAATGCTATTTTAAAAGCATATAATACCAGTGAAAAAAATCTGACATAATTATACCACTGTAAATTGAGAAATATACACAAGAATCTAACTGTTTCTTGTTGCATTTGTTGCAAAGTCAACACGCTATTTTGTTGATGTAGCCTAGTTTTAAAGAAGGCCTATGAAGTGCTGTTTGGCCGACTGGTAAAATATTATCAGTTTATTACAGCCTGAAAATGAAATTGAATTTAGCCTTCCATTGACTGAGATGTCAGCCAGCGTGGTGGTCCTTTCCTCTTCCATTGCACCTGGCTATCAGGGGAATTTCGGAAGGTTGGCTGGTTTTACTTTATGATAACCCACTTATTGTGGTGATTTTGCCAGAGGGTACATACTGTATCCGATGCTGCGCTGAACAAACCGATAAGCAAATAGGGGCAATAGCGGAGATCAGCGCCATGAGATTCAGCACCATGAATAGCGCCATTGTTGATCAATTCCCTGTGAGTCAAACCCGCTCTCGCTTTTGTTAGTGTAACATGGAAACATTTAGCAAATGTCTATCTCCTTGAGGGCATTTGCGGACACAATGTATCAGACTTTTGTTAATAGTGAGTAGCCACAGTTTATATTTTGGAGCCACTGTTGACATTTGTGAATGTGAGATGGAGATGGCCTATCATAACTGCGTCGAGAGGTCACGTGTAGCCTGCTACAGTTTCATGATAGTTAATCTTGTTCCCAGACACTTCCACCAAAATGCGCGAAGAATATGATGGAACAACGCGTCAAACGTGGCCTTCATTAGCCAGTACAGAGAACCGGGAGAAACTCCCGTGCAAAGGCATTACTTAGTCAGCTTAATCTACCAACCAATCATCTCCCACAACACCTTCCCTCCATACGCTAGCGCAGGGGCTCTCAAAGTGGGGTACTGCAGGGGTCCGCAGCCAGATCTAAAAATATATCAAACAAAAAAAACTAAACATTTAAACAGATTAAATTACTTTTGGCCAAGGGATCTGTGGAATAACATTTAAAGTGTGTAATACAACACAATGTCATGTTATCCATCTACAATTTATGTTGTTAACCCTGGGAGGCTCACAGGGATATTGGTATCCACAGTACTTCACTAATTATACATTTTCCGACTCAATACTTCCTGTATTCCGCAAAAATATATTTATCACAGGAGGTTGGTGGCACCTCGTGGTAATGGCTGGAGCGGAATAAGTGGAATGGTATCAAATACATCAAACACATGGTTTCCATATGTTTGTTGCCATTCCATTTGCTCCGTTCCATCCATTATTATGAGCCGTCCTCCCCTCAGTAGCCTCCACTGATATATACAGTGCTTTCAGAAAGTATTTAGACCCCTTGACTTTTTCCACATTTTCTTACGTTACAGCCTTATTCTAAAATTGATTAAATAGTTTTTTTTCCCCTCATCAATCTACACACAAAACCCCATAATGACAAAGCAAAAACTGGTTTTTAGAAATGTTTGCAAATGTATTAAAAATCAAAAACGGAAATATGACATTTACATAAGTAATCAGACCCTTTACTCAGTACTTTGTTGAAGCACCTTTGGCAGCGATTACAGCCTCGAATCTTCTTGGGTATGACGCTACAAGCTTGGCACACCTGTATTTGAGGAGTTTCTCCCATTCTTCTCTGCAGATCCTCTCAAGCTCTGTCGGGTTGGATGGAGAGGTTCGCTGCACAGCTATTTTCAGGTCTCTCCAGAGATGTTCGATCGGGTCCTGAAGCCACTCCTGCGTTGTCTTGGCAGTGTGCTTAGTGTTGTTGTCCTGTTTGAAGGTGAACCTTCGCCCCAGTCTGAGGTCCTGAGCGCTCTGGAGCAGGTTTTCTTCAAGGATCTTTCTGTACTTTGCTCCATTCATCTTTCCCTCGATGCTGACTAGTCTCCCAGTCCCTGCCGCTGAAAAACATCCCCACATCATGATGCTGCCATGCTTCACCGTAGGGATGGTGCCATATTTCCTCCAGACGTGACGCTTGGCATTCAGGCCAAAGAGTTCAATCTTGGTTTTATCAGACCAGAGAATCTTGTTTCTCATGGTCTGAGAGTCTTAAGGTGCCTTTTGGCAAACTCCAAGCAGGGCTTCTGTCTGGCCACTAACATAAAGGCCTGATTGGTGGAGTGCTGCAGAGATGGTTGTCCTTCTGGAAGGTTCTCTCATCTCCACAGAGGAACTCTGGAGCTCTTTCAGAGTGACCATCGGGTTCTTGGTCACCTCCCTGACCAAGTCCCTTCTCCCCTGATTGCTCAGTTTTGCTGGGCAGCCAGCTCTAGGAAAAGTCTTGGTGGTTCCAAACTTCTCCCATTTCAGAATGATGGAGGCCACTGTGTTCTTGGGGACCTTCAATGCTGCAGTCAATTTTTGGTACCCTTCCCCAGATCCTTCGACCTCATGGCTAGGTTTTTGCTCTGATATGCACTTTCAACTGTGGGACCTTATATAGTCAGGTGTGTGCCTTTCCAAATCATGTCCAATCAATTGAATTTACCACAGGTAGACTCCAATCAAGTTGTATATACATCTCAAGGATGATCAATGGAAACAGAATGCACCTGAACTCAATTCCGAGTCTCATAGCAAAGGGTCTGAATACTTATGTAAATAAGGTATTTCTGTTTTTCTAAAAACCTGTTTTCGCTTTGTCATTTTGGGGTATTGTTCGTAGATTGATGTGGACATTTTTTTATTTAATCAATTTTAGAATGAGGCTGTAACGTAACAAAATGTGGAAAAAGTCAAGGGGTCTGAATACTTTCCGAATGCACGGTATATTTTTGGCTCCCGGTTTACTGTTGTTAATCCCTATTGAAAAATAGGGGTAGGGTTGTAGAGAATCGAAGGACCATGAATATAATAAGAAACCTTAGGTGCTGGCTTAAGGCCGGTAGCAACCACTACAGAATGTCCGGTCAGAACAAGGATAAGGCGGTTGTCCAGGTTAAGGGGAGTTTAATGAATGTCCACATTCACACACATATCACACACACATCTGACCACTGATGGCTCAGATAACTGAGAATCATGTTCAGTGAGAACTGACATTAACTATGTGGTCGTTTAGATGCACACACAATTAAACATCAGACATACAGGGATTCAGTCCACAGGACGGAAAGTTCAGCAGGATGGAAAACTGTGGACGTGCTCATCAGGATGGGGAAAGCACATTTCTGACCACACAGCGTGCTGGGGTCATAGACGAACTGAAACTGAAGTTCCGGGAATCAAGGCCACTCATAGGCTGAACGAGATGTGCTGATAAATATTTGGTGTGACCTTGATCAATAAGACACGAACAAAAGTGGGGGTCCTCTGAATGGGAGACTAAGCTGCCCGACTAGAACTAACCAGAAGGGATGGCTAGAATCAGCTGACTGAAGCTGGCCGTTTTAACACCTATTACGTAGTATAACATTTAAGATAATAACATGTCACATTTCCACCTGCAAATAGCACCAAATGTCAGTTACGAAATAGTAGAAATGCAAAGTAGCTTTTTAGCGCGGCCAGTTGTTGTGTGTACAACTTCCTGTATTACCATTGGCTCTTGTTCGCAAGGTTAGCAACAATAGCAAAAACATTAACAATACAAAAGTTATTCTCATCCAGGAAAACTGATGTCGCATAACCTTTGAAAATTGCATTTGGTGAAACATTTTCCATTTGGTATTCTTTGTGATTACTTGATTGCAGAATTGTTCTTTTCCTTTTTTAGATACAGTCGTTTCTCACACTCTTCCAGCCCCAGCGCTGTCTGATGCAACCTATGCTGGAATCCTTTCGCTCATAGGTAGGTTTTGTAGTATATTTAGCGTTATACAACAGGTGGGACTAATCCTGAATGTTGATTGGTTAAAATTGCTTTCCAGCCAGTGTCTATTCCACAAATTGCCACCGGCTAAATCTATGACATTTAAATGCCTATTTACTCTGTTCCATCTGACTGCGCAATCCACTGTCTCATCAGCCAGGCAACTTAAACTTGATCTCCACTACAAAAAGCATCTAGACATTATTTCACAATTCTTTAAACCTTGCTGTCTGTCTCTCCGACATTTGCAACATTGTTTCAATATTCAAATTCGATCTCCTACTGTCCCATATTAATGAACGAGTCGGGACGAGGAAGACAGCATTTCTCAGCCAGGCGAAATCATGAATCAGCTGGCATCATTTTTATGGAGATCTACAAACGCAGCTAATTTGCAGTCTTTCCAGCTTCAGTTTGAAGTGATTGTGTTACAGTAGCTGTGTTGTTGGCTAGCTCCTCTGAACAACAGTGTCCTGACAAATGAGCACATTTTCTATGCCAGGTGAAATCGCATCTCATTAGCTCATTATGGATGTATCCAAATAAATGTCACTAGAAAACAGCTTAAACAAATGCAAATGCAGTTACTTTGCTGTTATTCTGGCTGCACTTTTTGACTTGACTGTTAAGTTAGCCGTAGTTGGCTAGCTAGCAAGCAAGGGATAAGAATGTTGCCAGCCAGTATGGCAATGGAACGAACGACTGGGTCGCAAACATAGATACAGAACAAAAAGACTGAACGACTGGGTCGCGTCTAGCAACCCTAGATTTGTGTCGGGACTATATCTTGTGGAAGGATGAAATAGTATGAATAAATTAATCAAAATAACGTTTTTAATGAACATATGTCAAACATTATTTGAATATGTTGGTAACCCGTTGTATAAAAGTGATAATGCCCGAGAAGCCGGTGTTTGGAGGATATATTGGCACAGTTTGCCAATATGTCACGCCCTGGCTCTGGGGACGCTTGTATGTCGAGCCAGGGTGTGAGTTTTCTTTGTTTATTCTAGGTTTTATCTAGCTCTTTCGTTTCTATGTTGGCCAGTGTGGTTCTCAATCAGAGGCAACGTGTATCAGCTGTTGCTTGTTGTCTCTGATTGGGAACCATACTTAAGCAGCCAGTTTTCCCACAGTGTTTGTGGGATCTTGTTCCTGTGTAGGTTTGTGTTTTGCACCTTTGGACGTCACGTATCGTTTGTTGTTTTGTTCGTGTTATCATTATTTAATAAATATGTTCACCTTCCACATTGCGCCTTGGTCCTCTGTACCCGACGATCGTGACACAATATATCCTCCAAACACCGGCTTCTCGGCATTATCACTTAAATGAATCCATTATATTTAATATCTTATGGAACTGTACTGGAGAGATGATATGTAAAGAAAGACTCAAATGATGACCATTTTATGTAAATATGGGTATAAGTGTCAGTGCTTATGGTTTATATGCAAAAAACGGTAACACTTTATTTTAAGGTACACATAATAGCCACTAATGTGTAGTTTATACGTGTCTATATAAGTAGCCAGTAAGGCCTTTATTATGTATTATTAGTCCTATAAGGTGTGCCCCTTTCTGTCCAATGTGGTCCTTTCTGGACAATATTTCTTTAAGTAAGAATAAGGTAAAACTTTAGTATAAGGAACACATCTTAAAGCACTATGCCTCAGTTAGTTCCACATTGAGACAAAATACCAAGAGTCTGATTTCTGTGTAAATTGCTCTTTATTAAAGGTCCAGTGCAGCCATTTTTATCTCAATATCAAATCATTTCTGGGTAACAATTAAGTATCTTACTGTGACTGTTTTCAATTAAAATGGTCAAAAAGAAACAAAAATAGTTTGTTAGCAAAGATCAATTTCTCAAGCAAGAATTTTGCTAGCACTGTCTGGGAGTCATCTGAGTGGGGAGGGGGAAACTGAAAACTAGCTGATATTGGAAGAGGTTTGGAACTCTTTCTTATTGGTCCTATTAACTAATTTACCACCTGGTGATGCCACCAAGCAGGCCAAACCTCCATCCCACCAAAACAGGCTAAAATGTCAGGCCATAATTTCAAACAGCTCTTACACTAAAAGGGCATTATCATAATTTTCACAATTTCACAGTATTATTTCAAACCTCCTTGTGGAAATGTACATAAACCACAGGAAAATCATGTTTTTGACTGCACTGGGGCTTTAAATACTAATACCTTTATTATGAGTAACAATTAGGTTATTAAGGATTGGCTTTTTAACATATGACTTTGAATAAGAATACACTTAATTAAGGCCTAATATATGGCTAACAAGACATACATATTACTTATTACCTTACTTATATACATGCTTATAAACTATACATTAGTGGGTAGTATGTGTACCTTTTAAAATAAAGTGCAAAACTAACCACTCTACAGTACCAGTCAAAAGTTTGAACACACCTACTCATTCCAGGGTTTTTCTTTTCTTTTTTACTATTTTCTACATTGTAAATCAAAACTATGAAATAACACATATGGAATCATGTAGTAACCAAAAAGTGTTAAACAAATCAAAATATATTTTATATTTGAGATTCTTCAAATAGCCACCCTTTGCCTTGATGACAGCTTTGCAAACTCTTGGCATTCTCTCAACCAGCTTCATGAGGTAGTCACCTGGAATGCATTTCAATTAACAGGTGTGCCTTGTTAAAAGTTAATTTGTGAAAATTATTTCCTCCTTAATGCATTTGAGCCAATCAGTTGTGTTGTGACAAGGTAGGGGTGGTATACAGAAGATAGCCCTATTTGGTAAAAGACCAAGTCCATATTATGGCAAGAACAGCTCAAATAAGGAAAGAGAAACGACAGTCCATCATTACTTTAAGACATGAAGGTCAGTCAATCCGGAAAATTTAAAGAATTTTGAAAGTTTCTTCAAGTGCAGTCGCAAAAAACATCAAGCACTATGATGAAACTGGCTCTCATGAGGACCGCCACAGGAAAGGAAGACCCAGAGTTACCTCTGCTGCAGAGGATAAGTTCATTAGAGTTACCAGCCTCAGAAATTGCAGCCCAAATAAATGCTTCACAGAGTTCAAGTAACAGACACATCTCAACATCAACTGTTCAGAGGAGACTGTGTGAATCAGGCCTTCATGGTCGAATTGCTGCAAAGAAACCACTACTAAAGGACACCAATAAGAAGAAGAGACTTGCTTAGGCCAAGAAACACGAGCAATGGACATTAGACCGGTGGAAATCTGTCCTTTGGTCTGATGAGTCCAAATTTGAGATTTTTGGTTCCAACCGCTGTGTCTTTGTGAGATGCAGAGTAGGTGAACGGATGATCTCCATATGTGTGGTTCCCACTGTGAAGCATGGAGTAGGAGGTGTGATTGTGTGGTGGTGCTTTTGCTGGTGACACAGTCATTGATTTATTTAGAATTCAAGGCACACTAAGGCTGCCACAGCATTCTGCAGCGATACACCATCCCATCTGGCTTGGGCTTAGTGGGAATATCATTTGTTTTTGAACAGGACAATAACCCAACACACCTCCAGGCTGTGTAAGGGCTATTTGACCAAGAAGGAGAGTGATGGAGTGCTGCATCAGATGACCTGGCCTCCACAATCACCTGGCCTCAACCCAATTGAGATGGTTTGGGATGAGTTGGACCGCAGAGTGAAGGAAAAGCAGCCAACAAGTGCTCAGCATATGTGGAAACTCCTTCAAGACTGTTGGAAAAGCATTCCAGGTGAAGCTGGTTGAGAGAATGCCAAGAGTATATTTTGATTTGTTTAACACTTATTTGGTTACTACATGATTCCATATGTGTTATTTCATAGTTTTGATGTCTTCACTATTATTATACAATGTAGAAAATAGTACAAATAAAGAAAAACCTTGGAATGAGTATGTGTGTCCAAACTTTTGAATGGTACTGTATATGTTCTGCCCAGTGGTCCTGAGTGTGCTATTGGCAGGGGTGGTGTTGTGGTGGTGGAGGGAGGAGTTCAGGCCTTCCAGGACACTCACCCTCCAAGACTTCTCCCTGAAGGAGTCCCAGGACCCCCTCATCCAGGCACCAGCCAGGGGCCCTGAGGTTTGTCCTGTCAAGGTAAGCCCTGCCAATGAGCAGGACGAGTGTGTGGGCTTTGTTCACAACAGTATGAAGGGGGACAGTTTCCTATTTCAAGGGATTCCTGGTAAAATGGATATAGATGTCAATAAGAATGAAAGATACAGTGGCTTGCGAAAGATTTCACCCCCGTTGGCATTTTTCCTATTTTGTTGCCTTACAACCTGGAATTAAAATTGATTTTGGGGGAGTTTGTATCATTTGATTTACACAACATGCCTACCACTTTGAAGATGCAAAATATTTTTTATTGTGAAACAAACAAGAAATAAGACAAAAAAACTGAAAACTTGAGTGTGCATACAGTGGGGAGAACAAGTATTTCATACACTGCCGATTTTGCAGGTTTTCCTACTTACAAAGCATGTAGAGGTCTGTAATTTGTATCATAGGTACACTTCAGCTGTGAGAAACGGAATCTAAAACAAAAATCCAGAAAATCACATTGTATGATTTGTGTGTTTGATACATCAGAAAAGTGTTTGATACATCAGAAAAGCAGAACTTAATATTTGGTACAGAAACCTTTGTTTGCAATTACAGAGATCATACGTTTCCTGTAGGTCTTGACCAGGTTTGCACACACTGCAGCAGGGATTTTGGCCCACTCCTCCATACAGACCTTCTCCAGATCCTTCAGGTTTCGGGGCTGTCGCTGGGCAATACGGACCTTCAGCTCCCGCCAAAGATTTTCTATTGGGTTCAGGTCTGGAGACTGGCTAGGCCACTCCAGGACCTTGAGATGCTTCTTACGGAGCCACTCCTTAGTTGCCCTGGCTGTGTGTTTCGGGTCGTTGTCATGCTGGAAGACCCAGCCACGACCCATCTTCAATGCTCTTACTGAGGGAAGGAGGTTGTTGGCCAAGATCTCGCGATACATGGCCCCATCCATCCTCCCCTCAATACGGTGCAGTTGTCCTGTCCCCTTTGCAGAAAAGCATCCCCAAAGAATGATGTTTCCACCTCCATGCTTCACGGTTGGGATGGTGTTCTTGGGGTTGTACTCATCCTTCTTCTTCCTCCAAACACAGCGAGTGGAGTTTAGACCAAAAAGCTATATTTTTGTCTCATCAGACCACATGACCTTCTCCCATTCCTCCTCTGGATCATCCAGATGGTCATTGGCAAACTTCAGACGGGCCAGGACATGCGCTGGCTTGAGCAGGGGGACCTTGCGTGCGCTGCAGGATTTTAATCCATGATGGCGTAGTGTGTTACTAATGGTTTTCTTTGAGACTGTGGTCCCTGCTCTATTCAGATCATTGACCAGGTCCTGCCGTGTAGTTCTGGGCTGATCCCTCGTGTAGTTCTGAGCTGATCCCTCACCTTCCTCATGATCATTGATGCCCCACGAGGTGAGATCTTGCATGGAGCCCCAGACCGAGGATGATTGACCTTCATCTTGAACTTCTTCCATTTTCTAATAATTGCGCCAACAGTTGTTGCCTTCTCACCAAGCTGCTTGCCTATTGTCCTGTAGCCCATCCCAGCCTTGTGCAGGTCTACAATTTTATCACTGATGTCCTTACACAGCTCTCTGGTCTTGGCCATTGTGGAGAGGTTGGAGTCTGTTTGATTGAGTGTGTGGACAGGTGTATTTTATACAAGTAACGAGTTCAAACAGGTGCAGTTAATACAGGTAATGAGTGGAGAACAGGAGGGCTTCTTAAAGAAAAACAAACAGGTCTGTGAGAGCCGGAATTCTTACTGGTTGGTAGGTGATCAAATACTTATGTCATGCAATAAAATGCAAATTAATAACTTAAAAATCATACAATGTGATTTTTTTGATTTTTGTTTTAGATTCCGTCTCTCACAGTTGAAGTGTACCTATGATAAAAATTACAGACCTCTACATGCTTTGTAAGTAGGAAAACCTGCAAAATCGGCAGTGTATCAAATACTTGTTCTCCCCACTGTATATGTCCGAACTCAGAATCAAATATGCTTTGATTGGCCATTTTCTACATTTGTCAAATCCCATCAGTTAGCCTGATTTCAGATGTGTCCATGTAAACCAGATTATTAGGGAAATCATTCTTCTTTCAAAGCATGTAAACGTTTAAATCAAACTATTATATGAATCGGACTATTCACAATAAATGTATTATTGTGTGCATGTAACCGTACTCATTGACTCCAAGGACCCTAGTGTCTTATAACCATGCCTCACCTGACAGACTGCCCTCTGTTAAAATGCTTAAGTGGTGAATGTGATCTCTATGATTAGTAACCTGCCATCTTCTCCTCAGGACACTCTGCTTAAGCTGGACTTGGACCAGGACTGAGTGTCTTAAGTCACTTGTGTAAGAGAGACAGATGTCCAGCTGTGCTCCCATCCCACCCCTCCCGGTGCCAGCAGAGCCTGGAGTGTCATCAGATTATCTGGCAAAAGGGAGTGCGAAGAAGAGAGGAGGCGTCTTACAGCACTTCCCCATGATGACCAGTGGTCCTCCCAGGGCCTAATTCAACCTCAATGTTGATTTCATTTGAGTTGTGGCCCATTTAAAGCCTGGATCAAGTCCACTTCAGTTTCAGTGAAGGCTAAAAATGCACTTAAACAATTGACTTGAAAATTACTTGAACAACTTGAACAAGAATTTCTGTGAGGATTTTTCCAAGTCATTGTGTTTTCTAACTTGACTGGAGTTTAATTGGAATTGACCCCAGCCTTGGGGGTCCTGAAGCATATCAGTGATTAGCTACAGATGGACACCTCAGCCTATGTCCAGCCTATGTGAGATACTGTACCCCTCAGCATACACTTGAATTGTGACATGATCTGAATGTCTTTTTGCAATCGGTTGACTACTCTTAATGTTCAAACTAATCCCCATATTTCGTTGGGGCATGGACCCTACAAGGTATCGAAAGCGTTCCACAGGGATGCTGGCCCATGTTGACGCCAATGCCTCCCACAGTTGTGTCAAGTTGGCTGGATATCCTTTGGGTGGTGGACAATTCTTGATACACACTGGAAACTGTTGAGCGTGAAAAACCCAGCAGTGTTGCAGTTCTTGACACACTCGAACCGGTGCGCCTTGCACCTACTACCCCGTTCAAAGGTACTTAAGTATTTTGTCTTGCCCTTTCATCCTCTGAATGGCACACATACACAATCCATGTCTCAAGGCTTGAAAAGTATTCTTTAACCTGTCTCCTCCCCTTCATCTACACTGATTTGAAGTGGATTTAACAAGTGACATCAATAAGGGATCAGTCTATGGTATGGAAAGAGCAGGTGTTCCTAATGTTTTGTACACTGTATGTGTTTATATACAGTGCATTCGGAAAGTATTCAGACCCGTTGACTTTTTCTACATTTTGTTACGTTACAGCCTTATTCTAAAATGGATTCAATTGTTTTTTTCCCCTCATCAATCTACACACAATACCCCATAATGACAAAGCAAAAACAGGTTTTTAGATATTTTTGCAAATGTATTAAAAAATAAAACACTGAAATATTACATTTACATTATTATTCAGACCCTTTACTCAGTACTTTGTTGAAGCACCTTGGCAGCGTTTACAGCCTAGAGTCTTCTTGGGTATGACACTACAAGCTTGGCACACCTGTATTTTGGGAGTTTCTCCCATTCTCTGCAGATCCTCTCAAGCTCTGTCAGGTTGGATGGGGAGCGTCGCTGCACAGCTATTTTCAGGTCTCTCCAGAGATGTTCGATCGGGTTCAAGTCCGGGTTCTGGCTGGGCCACTCAAGGACATTCAGAGAATTGTCCCGAAGCCACTCCTGCGTTATTTGGCTGTGTGCTTACGGTCGTTGTCCTGTTGGAAGGGGAACCTTCGTCGCAGTCTGAGGTCCTGATCGCGCTGGAGCAGGTTTTCATCAAGGATCTCTCTGTACTTTGCTCCGTTCATCTTTCCCTCGATCTTGACATCCCCACAGCATGATGCTGCCACCACCATGCTTCACCGTATGGTGCCAGGTTTCCTCCAGACGTGATGCTTGGCATTCAGGCCAAAGAGTTCAATCTTGGTTTCATCAGACCAGAGAATCTTGGTCTGCGAATATTGGAGTTTTGGCAAACTCCAAGCGGGCTGTCATGTGCCATTTACTGAGGAGTGGCTTCCATCTGGCCACTCTACCATAAAGGCCTTGTTTGTGGAGTGCTGCAGAGATGGTTGTCCTTCTGGAAGGTTCTCCCATCTCCACAGAGGAACTCTGGAGCTCTGTCAGAGTGACCATCGGGTTCTTGGTCACCTACCTGACCAAGGCCCTTCCGATTGCTCAGTTTGGCCGGGTGGCCAGCTCTAAGAAGAGTCTTGGTGGTTCTACATTTCTTCCATTTAAGAATGATGGAGGCCACTGTGTTCTTGGGGACCTTCAATGCTGCAGTAATTTTTTGGTACCCTTCCCCAGATCTGTGCCTCGACACAATTCTGTCTCGGAGCTCTACGGACAATTCCTTCCACCTCATGGCTTGGTTTCTGCTCTGACATGCAGTGTCAACTGTGGGACCTTGTATAGACAGGTGTGTGCCTTTCCAAATCATGTCCAATCAATTGAATTTACCACAGGTGGACTCCAATCAAGTTGTAGAAACATCTCAAGGATGATCAATAGAAACAGGATGCACTTGAGCACAATTTCGAGTCTCATAGCAAAGGGTCTGATACTTATGTAGATAAGGTATTTCTGTTTTTTTATTTTTAATACATTAGCAAAAAATAAAATAACCTGGGGTATTGTGTGTAGATTGAGGAAAATGTTTTATTTAATCCATTTTAGAATAAGGCTGTAACGTAACAAAATGTGGAGAAGGTCAAGGGGTCTGAATACTTTCCGAATGCACTGTACATAATTGATTCACACACATAATTAATCACTCTCCATTTGATACAGTATTATGCAAAACGCTGAACCAGCCTAAAAATGTGTGGAGTGTAGAATGTATTGTCATTGATTCATCACATAATGTGAGCATATTTCAAGAGACATGGATTTTACATTCTGCTCCTAGTTACATGCTCTTATCTGATGTTCTGGTAATCGAGTCATTCACACTGGTCTGCCTTGTTTAGATCAGTTGCTATGCCTTCATTGACAAGCAATGTTGATTATTGTTAATTATTTGCTGTCCTTTCAAATAGTTTAATGTTAGGCTTTTTGTTATTTGAGGTTATTTGAGGTGTCAGGCAAAACTTGTCATTGCCAAAATAAAACGTACAGTATGTATGAAATCTATTTTTCTGATTTAAATTCTATGAATATATGTTTTTTCGCTAGTTTAAATCCACGGAACCTTAAAACCTACGGAAGAGTATTAGGTCCAAGTGAAGAGAAAAAATTATAAAACAGTGATGTTGGTAATTTGAATGTTTTATGCACAGATAATACCTTTACTTGAAATACTTAGAAAATAAAGTTTAAATGTACTGTTGAGAATAAAGACTAAATTACATTTCGTGAATAAAGTGGCAATATTTCAATAAAGCTGCGCCCGCACACACACGGTATCCCCAAAACAATACAATTCTAATGGCCATGGTGCATTGTCAGGACACCGAAAGTAGTTAACTTTCTTGGTACTGTCACTGACTGCGAAGAGAAATGGAGTTGCGTGCATCAGTCCCTGGTGCCCTTCAAATTCGCAAATAATGTTATCCTCAATCCCCTGCATATGCCAACACCTTGCATAGTATTTTAGAGAGTAACCGTTCGGCCACATCCAATGAAGTAGCCTCATAGGCCTAGGCTTCTTGTGAATGTAAATTACGGATTGTGTGGAGAAGAATTGCGTGTCCCCGTCGGGATCAAAGGCTGCCCCCAAAACCCCTGTCATTGACCTTGCATAGCCACGGCAGGGGGGCAGGGGTTTGGTTAAAGGCCCGTCTGATACAGCAATTATATGGTTCATTATTATGACCTAACAGCTCCAGCCACTAGCCTCTATAAGGTGAGCAAGTGGTAGCTGAGTCAAATAGCCTATAATTGTTTTGGGATAAATTATGCTTCCTTCATGCCTCCCATCCTTGAAGACGTTACCGGTAGATGGATAGTGAAAGGCGATATTACGCTAAGCTACCAACCAAGTCATGTCAGATCAGTGATTATTTATGTATTATTTCCTATGATCATTGATCTAATAGGCCTATATTTAGATCAATTATTATTTTTAAAAGGGAGAATCCATCCATGAATATATTCAAACAGTGCTTAAGATGAGCTGCTTTATGCATGCAGGAGTGGTTCTTGCGTTGCCTCCTCCCATAGACATGTTTGTGTAAAATACCTGCTTCATTCCTCCCGCAGTCGTTGTTGGATAGGCCTATAATTTACTTTCACTTGCCCACTGTAACGTACTATTAGTCTACAGGCTAGGGTACTCAATCTAGTGGTCCGCTATACAGTGAGGGAAAAAAGTATTTGATCCCCTGCTGATTTTGTACGTTTGCCCACTGACAAAGAAATGATCAGTCTATAATTTTAATGGTAGGTTTATTTGAACAGTGAGAGACAGAATAACAACAAAAAAATCCAGAAAAACGCATGTAAAAAATGTTATAAATGTATTTGCATTTTAATGAGGGAAATAAGTATTTGACCCCCTCTCAATCAGAAAGATTTCTGGCTCCCAGGTGTCTTTTATACAGGTAACGAGCTGAGATTAGGAGCACACTCTTAAAGGGAGCGCTCCTAATCTCAGCTTGTTACCTGTATAAAAGACACCTGTCCACAGAAGCAATCAATCAATCAGATTCCAAACTTTCCACCATGGCCAAGACCAAAGAGCTCTCCAAGGATGTCAGGGACAAGATTGTAGACCTACACAAGGCTGGAATGGGCTACAAGACCATCGCCAAGCAGCTTGGTGAGAAGGTGACAACAGTTGGTGCGATTATTCGCAAATGGAAGAAACACAAAATAACTGTCAATCTCCCTCGGCCTGGGGCTCCATGCAAGCTCTCACCTCGTGGAGTTGCAATGATCATGAGAACGGTGAGGAATCAGCCCAGAACTACACAGGAGGATCTTGTCAATGATCTCAAGGCAGCTGGGACCATAGTCACCAAGAAAACAATTGGTAACACATTATGCCGTGAGGGACTGAAATCCTGCAGCGCCCGCAAGGTACCCCTGCTCAAGAAAGCACATATACAGGCCCGTCTGAAGTTTGCCAATGAACATCCGAATGATTCAGAGGAGAACTGGGTGAAAGTGTTGTGGTCAGATGAGACCAAAATCGAGCTCTTTGGCATCAACTCAACTCGCCGTGTTTGGAGGAGGAGGAATGCTGCCTATGACTCCAAGAACACACAGATCTGGGGATGGGTACCAAAATATTTCTGCAGCATTGAAGGTCCCGAAGAACATAGCTGCCTCCAACATTCTTCAATTGAAGAAGTTTGGAACCACCAAGACTCTTCCTAGAGCTGGCCGCCCAGCCAAACTGAGCAATCGAGGGAGAAGGGCCTTGGTCAGGGAGGTGACCAAGAACCC